CTAGACCATACAAACCTTGCCTAAATCTCTTCAAGCCGGCAAAAACATGGCCCAACACCTATCAACACACTATTGTCATAGTTTTGGGGTCCAAGTTTATATGCATGTATACCGAAACAACTCCATCCGCGTAGTTATTTGCTATCAGTATCTACGTGTTTGCTTGTCAGGGAATCCATATGTAAGCATACAAACCGAAATACATTGACATCTGAACAAATGATGGTGAATATCAATAAATGTGAATATTTGTGCGTATAGTTTCATATAGTAAATTACAATACAAGATCATATAACCAAATGCCAATGTAAATATGCATATGCGTACATGCGTGCATACATACACGTGTGCAGGCATGCATTCAGGCATACATGTACATACATATAAATATGTATATGTATATATATATATAGATATGTATATATATATGTATATATGTATATATATATATGAGCATCTTATGTGTGTGGATGTGTTATTGTGGGAACTCTTGTGCGCTGGAACCCGAAACTGCGGAGGAGTCGCCTCCTTGCCACTCATTGGCTACACAGCCCGGCCGGCCACAAGCAAAAGCACCTTCCGAGCATTCTGCTGGGACTCTGTGCTAGACTGGAATGTGAGGACGGGTGGGCGAACAGGAAGCAGCCAAGGTTGTAACATGTCGGCTAATTCCCTGTCGGTCTTACTGTCTTGCTGACAATCCTGCTTATCTCCTTCGAGTTTGGGCCCACGACGCTGACATTCTTGTTTCTGGTGCACCACTCGTCAAATCGGATCAGGTGGGCTGTAGTCCGCTTTGCAGGAACTAAGCAGCTAGGCTTTGTCAAGCCTCGATTTTCGAAGCTCGAAGGATACTTGTAGCATGGAGTTTTCCGAAACATTGAACTCCGAGTCAAAGGGATCCCGCGGATTGACATGTAGCAAGACATTGCCCTGCTTGCCAGCCGTGGTCTGCAAAGTGGCACTCCCCGCTCGTTTGAGTAGAGGCCTGCTGGGCAAAACAGCCTCCAAGCAAGCACATTGTGACACATCACGTGTCAATCGAACAAGTGTGCCGTGTCATCTTCCCTTCCATCCCACTCCTCAACTTGCTTCTCAGCTTGGTCGCCCCAAAGCGTGTCATCCAAGAACGTTGGATCTCCTCCGTGAAAGAGCACATCTTCTTCATCGTCCTCGTCTTCGTCTTCGGTACTGTGCACCAGCTCCAGCTGAGTCTTTTGCTTCTTTTCTGTGACTTTCGAGCTGCTCGACCACTTGTCGTCGTTCAGAAAGCTCGGATCCCCTCCGGAGATCAAAACTTCATCGGACTGATCGATATCTACATCATCACCTGCTGATATCGCGAAAAGAACAGATGGATCAACCTCAGGAGCTTGCAGGGCTTCGAAGTCAGCCCTACTCCGGATGCCCCCTCCGAAGGCATTGTCCATGAGATCACGAGCGAATGCCTTCTCCTGAGGAGCGCTCGATGCCGAGGGATTGTCTTCAAGCTCCTTTGAAGCGGAAGGTGCAGCACCGCAGACTACGTACTGGACGGTGCTGTGCCGGGTTCGCTCCATGCCAGGCTGTCCCAACCAGGCATCACAGTCTGCTTGAGACGCCCATTCAAGCGCTGCTACATAGTTTCCATCATGTCGAAGGAGGCTTCCGGACAATGCCTCAGGAGGCACCTGCCAAGTGGCCTCAAACTCTTTGCTCCAAGGTGAATGGACTTGCATCTTCGTGTGGCTAACGACTCTGGCTGGCAGGGTCTGCGAGAAGACAAGGAGCCTCCTTGTACGTAGGCATAGGCTCAAAAAGCCGAAAGAGCAAGCCACGAACCAGCGCAGCTTGCGCCTCTTGGAAGTATCCATCGGAGAACCGAAAACACTGTGTAGCCGTGGCCTCGGCCCAAAGCCTTCGGTATTTGAGAATCCGACGGAACAGTGGGAGACACGCTGGCGGGATCAGGGATAGACACAGAGACACACACACACAAACAGTTCGGTTGGTAACCCATCTGCACATGCCCCTGCAACCAACCTGTGGCCATGGGTACTTTTTCGAGGACAGGAATCTGCATGATGTCCTTTCACCACAAGCAGTGCTACTTCGTAGCTTTCCTGCGGTGAGTGGGCAGTTGCTGAGCTTTGTCGTAGCACTGCTGGCTCAGACTGCTCCGAAAATGCATAATTCCATGACCGCCCACGGCTTGGTAGAACAACGTCGAGTCTAGTCTAGCACACTGGATCTAAAGGAATTCCTCTGTGCACAATGCCTGCAGTCAATGGTCTAACAAAAGCAGGTTCAGGTGCCCAAGAACGGAAGCCAGGTGCCTCTCTTTTGTCGAGAGGCAGCCCGTGCTTACGCGAGCTGCGCCATCCCACAAACAAGCGCTGTCGTCTCAGGCGATCCTTTTCACGACATGCCGGCATAGGCAACATACTCCTGCCCAAAAGCCGCGACGAGACTCGAGATCTCCCCTCTAAACCCGAAGCCCATGTGCCCTAAACCATGTACCCGAAGCCCTGAACCCTGAGATCCCCGAGATCCCAATGGCCCTAAGCTTGCCTTTGGTTAGTAGGGAATGTTATAGTTGTACCCCATTCCTCCGTTCCCTACTAACCGAAGGCAAGTAAGCCCGAAGGGAGAGTCCTAAAGGGTTTAAGTTTCATATACCATATAGGGATTCATAGTATATGGGTATAGGGCCCCTACTTTTAAGGGTCATTTGGTCCGGAAGTCCCCTATATTATAGTACCCTTATAGATCCTTTATAGTAACCCTTATAGACCCCTTATAGTAACCCTTATAGACCCCCTTTAGTAACCCTTATAGATCCCTTATAGTAACCCTTATAGACCCCTTCAAAAAGGCCCCTGAAGGGGGAGTCCTGAAGTCGAGCCACGCAGGTGTATTTGCCATCCATGTAGCCGATCCAGCCCTCGAGAGCCTGAAGCTCTGAACATCTCAGGGGTCTATAAGGGCTGAAGGCTGTAGGGATCCTAGGGATCTTAAGGATTTCCGGGTTTAGGCTTTTGGGATCTTAGGGATCTTAAAGGGTTGAGGGTTTAGGTTTTTTTCGTGTGTGTTTTTAAGCAAAACCAATTAGGATGGAGAGGTTGGAGGCTTCGGGAGTCCTCCCTACATCTCCCGGCCCCACCTTCCACTCCTCCGGGCTTAACTCCTGGAAGTCCATGCTATTGATCAGCGACTTGTCGTAGGACCTGACATGCTGAGGCAGCAGGCTGCCGAAGAAAACACATGCCTGCCCTTCTAGTACGTTGTTCTGTGCTAGTGATGCCTTGCTAACCCCAACATGACGAAGCCAACCCCTGTGGACAATGCGATAGGGCTGTGCTGTGTCATTCTTGACTTTGCGACCGGGCTGCATCCTTGAAAGCGCGACTGTGGCATCTGCCCCGGCCAGGAAGCTGTATGAAGCACCCGGCTGGAAGTTCGGAGAGCTGGAGACATCATACACACCTGAGTGGGTCTGGCGTGGAGTTGCCAAGTCTCTCAGAGCTCGGGAATGCTGCCTTCAACTAGGAAAGATAGATGAACAAGTGCTGCCAACTATGCCAGGTAACGACCTCTAACACAGCAGTAGGTCATCGGAGACTGCTTGCCATCATGGAGACTCCTCGTCAGTTGGAAACTCAAGTATGCTTGTGCTTGCACAGCCGACTGCTGATCTCCGCCTACAGAAGAAAGCCAAGCGTCAAAGAGCTCAGGGATATTAGTGGGAGCTGCGATTCGTCCAGCTGAGAATTCTCTTTCGCTTGAGAGCGCTGCTGGAAACACTCAAGTAGCCTCAGACCATGCAGCTCGCCAGCACATTTCCCCAAACCGCCGAGTCACTGCAGCTGGGAAGCCCAGTGAAGACAAGGACCGAGAGTACCTCGATTTATTTGAAGTTTGAAAAGTTCTGTGAATCGAATCTCTCAGACGACTCAGACGCCAGGCCAGATAGCTCCAAGGTGCTGAAAGAAAGCCGATGGCATCCAGATTCTGCCAAAGGAAGCTGGGAAAATCCCAAGCTATGCTGCTGGCTTCCATGGCTGGACAGTTGCAGTTCAGTAAGAGGCTATCGAAGCTCGCATACGTGCAGGACTCAGAGGTATACTTGCATCATCCTGCAAACTGGTGATATTCGGGACGGCAGACCTGCATGTGTGTGTGTGTGTGTGTGTTGCTTCATGCGTTTGGGTCTTCTCATGCATGCGCACATGTCTCGAGCAACCGTTTGCACCTGCGACGTCGGACCATGAACATTTGCGAGATCTTTCACGGGATCAACCCGGCAACAACAAAGATGTTGAAACACTTGACGATCGTGTTGGTCATGCGACCACACTTGGCACAGGTCAGCGCTCTACCACGGCCAGGCCTTGTGACGCCAGCGTCGCCCATTGCCCGTGCTACTGTTGACAAAGGCTTCGGATGCTCGCCACTAACACAACAGTGCGCATCTCGCATGTTGTTCTATCCGCACCAAGCAAGTATGCTGACTGTTGCTTCTGACGTGCTGCTGCACTCGGAACTGGAAAGATGCACGCCTCTACCGACCGGCGGGGCAAACAGAAGTGATTCTTCCGAAGTGCGACTGGGTGCTACTATCCTGTTCACAAGCTTGTATCTGGTGGACTACTCTTAAGCTAAGGAAAATTCTTGGTCTTAGACCCAACAAAAACAACACACACACACACACACAAGATCCCGACGAATCCGGTGGCTTGCCAGAAACAAGCCACCGGCCAGTCTACAACATTCAAATCTCTCAAACACAGACTGATGCTGATGGTTTCCAAAACATGGGTGCAGGGTCTCGTGCTGCCAGATTTGAGATTTGTTCCTGCTACCGGGCTGTGAACTTGAAGAGTCTCCTATACGAAGACAGAAGCGTCTGAGAATGTGATTGAGCCGGCAGGCGCATCGAGCAAGAGAGCCCATCATTCCAAGGTTGTGTGTGGCAAGTCTCCGTCGGCAAGATGGTTGTGAAGTAGTCTGAGATGGAAACATCGCACGTCGAAGGCACATCGGAAAAGGCCATGGCCCTCAGAGCCATTGCGAATGAGAAGTGTGTGACTGGGAGAAAAACGCCGCAGCAACGCAAGAACATTCAGCAGCATCTTCAGCAACGGACTCGAACAAGCGAATTTGCTTGGCCTGACTCGGGCAATTACTTGCAGTGCTCCAGCACTGGTGATCTATCCATCTGCTTGGACTACCTCGGCTCTGAGCTGTCGAGACAGAAGAGCCTTTGGCTGCTGCGTGGTGACTTCTCGACACCTCCAGATGCAAAAGACAACGGCCGCATCAAGATTGTGCTGGCTGCACGGCATTTGCCCATTTGCCCAGCCTGTGGAACTATGCATTCTTTGCCGGCGGCTCGGAAGGCGACCTTCCGGCTTGGCGCGTTTTGCCAGACTTCCGCTCTGAAGCCAGGCTCCGGCCCGCATCCAGTAGTCCCAACCTCAACCCGACTCGAACCCTCGTCCAAGGCCACGTGCGTTCTCTGATGCATCCACTCAACCGGTTATAAGTTCCTTATAATTGAGTTATAAGTAGATATCACTATAGTTGCCTTACTTATAACTTTTAACCCTACGGAAGCATCAAAGCCGCAGACCCATGGTCGGCGCGATGGGCCAGGCCTGCCCAAAGGTCACAGGGTCACATCATTCTCGGGCTGCAGACCTTCACTGCTTAGCTGCTTGCACCTTGCGGACTTCCAGCCATGCGCGCCGCAGTAGCATGAAGCCCAAGCCTTCGTTCTCTAGCGGAGTCTCATGGAGTCTCGAGTTGCTTTTGAACACTCTGCAGAACCGAAGTGCCATCTGCCTGGAAAATAGGAGGTGCGCTGCAGGCTGCAGGCATCGAGTGCGGTGCCCTGCAATCGAATCGCTGCTCTGGCATCGATTTGGATGCTGATTGTCTTCGAGTTTGGGGCTATGTGCCCAGCGTCAAGTAGCAACAACTCACGACCCCAGTCCTTGAAGCCGAAATCGTTCCAAGCGCCGATGCACCAGAGACTTGGGTCCTGTCAGTAGAATCTCTCGAAACCCTACACCCCCAAACCAAAAAGCCGGGACACGAAAACACCCCAAGCGCAAAATCCCCAAACCGTGGGTGAGCACGAACCATGAGCCCAACGACGCCTCATCCAAGAGACCAGCTGTACCTCGGATTGATTCACCAAGGGTTGCTATGAGGGCTTCGTTTAGGATTCCGACATGGGTTGCGAAAAGGGCAAACATGAGCGTGACTGGTTGAATGGTGCCAAGCACCGCAACACTCAGCACCCTCGACGGCTACTCGTGGCCAGACACCAGAGGCCCTGTGCACTGTCTGCTTTTGGCCAGGATGCTGCGGAACAGCGCAAAGAAGTCCGGGGAGAAAAGCAAGTCTTCTTCAACCTCTCACTGTGCATCACAAGGGGATGTACTGCCAAATGCTCAATGAAAGCTCAGAGTATCTCAGAATTTTGCGAAGATCACGTGCTCGTGCGCTTTCTCCATGAAGGACCTGGGAATCGCATGCAGATGTCTTCGAGATTCTTTGTAGATTGAGGGGATGTCTAGGTATCTGGCTTCTCAAACACAGTCCAGTAGTGGTGGGCAATCTTTCCAGTGTTCGTCTTCATCCACTTCTCCGTCTCCTCTGCCGCTTCAGAACTAGGGAGCATCAAAAGCTTTCGGGTATGGCAAAGGATTTCCTCGTTGAGAACCGTTGTAGCATCAAATGCCCGCGGCCCGATCTGCATGACAGCTGCATGACCAGATCACACAGAAAATGCGCATGCTTGAGGATGGTCGGCCTGCCACACCTCGATGTTGATACCTTTGCCAGCTGCGACCTCCATGCCGACTTGCAGTGGCTACTGCTACTGCCTTTGTTTGACTCAAGCAGAGCTTCTGACCTTCCCTGCATGCTAGTAGGCAGTCAGGGCACTAAGGGGCCCATGCCTGCTTGGCAGCAGCTGTCATAGATGTCCAGGCTGCTGGATCATCCAGGGAAATATACACAGTGAACAAGGCCACCTGAGATGCGGCTCGAATGCGACCCATCTGTAGTTCAGCTCTACTCCGGCACTCGCATACTTCGGGTGCGCTGCCTCTGGTATCGCAAATAGTGATTCAAGACATCTCCTCGCCCATGCGCATGTGGGCTTCGCAGCCGTGCCAATCACGTCAAGTGAAGTGCTTCCACCAGGACTTCTTGTCGGAAGAGCACCTGAAATCTCCTTCCCGGTTGTGCGCGAGGATGACCTGATTCGGTACACGTACTTTGCAAGAGTGACGGACTTGCCACCAGGTTTTGTGCCCAGGAGGCTGCAGCACATTCATACCCCGTAGTTTTGCTTAACCCGTCCAAGTCCTGCTACGATTGTGACTGATGGCAAAGTTGGGCTGTTCTGACTCCCAGCCTAGAAATCCTTGTAGCTAAGCTCCTGGCGATGCCGGCGCCCTTCAGATCTTTGCTGAAAGGATTGGCCGGGAACCTTGTAGGTCGTGCCTCGAAGATTGCAAGAACCGAGACAGGCCGACAATGAAGCGGTGTCTGTTTCTGTCCACAGCCTCGTCGCAAGTTGAACCGTACGTGCAATTCTTCACAAACCTGAGTGCCGATGCTTGAAGAGCAGCAGTTCAAAACGATCATGCATATGCGGCAAAGGCATAGTGAGCGCATCGAGCTTATCATCTTAGCTTCTGCTCAATGAGCATCTTATGTCATCTCCCTGCTTTTAAAAAACGCATCGTAAGTTGCAAGGTTGGCCCGAGGCTCCCACGTCACCTCTTCGCTGGGAGACGACTTTGGCTGTGTTGACGACCTGCGGCGTCTGTGGCTCTTTGCTGTGCTTTTGCTTGCAGCGCCCTTCGCCTCGCTGTGCACTGCTTTGCCTTTTCAGGCCCAGCACAGGCGCGAGGCTGTCTGAAACCGTTCTGTCTTCGTCTACACGGCACTAAGGGGTTCCCCCCAAGAGTGCAGTTGCCTCTTCGAGGTGGGTGCCAGGCTTGTCGCAGGTAACTCCGCCACAGGATGTGCCTAGCACAGGTGCCGTCACGACACCGCTGAGCATAGGGCCTTCGTCCTTTTCCTGATTTGCGAAACCTGCCGGGCAGACCGATATTGATGCAAATCTCTTTGGCATCAGACAACCTGTTGTCAGCCCGGCATAGGTGTGCAGCATATCCCAGACACTAAGAAGCTGAAGCACGCTTTTGGTTGTCCGTCGTCAGCAGTCTCGGACAGGAATGACTTGGAAACATCTTTCCAGGTGCAGCCTTGATCAGACATCCCGCTCGGAGCACGCAGCAGACCCTAGCCCTTTTGGTGCTCAGTTTGGAACGAATGTCAAGGTCAAGGTTGGTGGTGAGCCTAGCCGCATGGATCAGCAAAAAACCTTAAACTTTTGCAGCCCGAAGAGCTTTGGCAGACAAGGCTGTTGCAGGGGGCTTTCCTTCCTTGCACCACAGATGGGACCTGAACATGTCTGCTCCGGCAACGGATTCAATGTACACCTCTCTTTCTTGGATGCAGGCATGTGGAGGTCATCTGCAATGGGTGCTCATGTGGTGGCAGAGTCGGTGGTTCTGTTGCCTCTTGCGCTGATGTGAACGAGCGGCCGAATAGGTGCGCAAGTGAGGCCCGCCTGCTTCTGAGGGGGTTTCTGTGGAGATGTCGCTGGAGGTTTTGGCATAGCTGCAGGTTTTGGCCTTACTGCCGTCGCACGATGCGCTGAATGTCCGCAAAGCTGTAGATATCATCAGAAGCAAAAATTCCGCAACGAGGGCGCCACGGTTCGGGTTTCGATGGCAAGGTTGTGGTGTCTGCCTGCATGGATAAACTTCAGGTGATGCCCTGCTAAGCAGATCTCAAGTACAACTTCTCGTGCCTCTGTCCTCGTGACGGGAATGGGTTCAGCCTTTCTGAGATTTTTCTCAGGCGCTTTCGATGCAACGTCCTTGTTTGCGAACCATGGTCTGCTCACGTGACGATACCTTATGGACAAAACCAAATCTTGTCACGTACCAGTATATCTGGGTGTGTTTTATTTGAGTCTTATCGTTGTTGTTATCACCATGCATCATGATTTCGTACTATATGTCCCTTTATGCTGTCCTTTAGACATGTATACACACACACACATATATATATATATATATATATAAGACATACATAAACACACGACATTGTATCAATACATACTTATGTAGTTGTTCCTACCTCTTGCCGTATTCAAGTACATGGTTCCGCCTTATCGCACATTGAAAGCTGTCTCCGTGTGCACTGTCATTCGAAATTGTATGTAATACATTGCCATGCTCAACTATATATGTTTATAAATGATGGCATATTGCATAATATTGTGGTTGAAGGCTATCGCAAATTCGTGTACACTACTGTATTCTATAGTGTATCCCAGCATGTAGTGTGACATCATGCTGTACAGTATTGTATCGTATTTTGTAGCAATACATACTCCTGTACGATACACGTATATGAATATGTCATTGTATGTTGGCATCGTAAATTCCATCATTATACTCACCATTTGGAAGTTTTCGAAAATAATAGGGGTCCCTAATATAGAACTCTAGATAGTAGGCTCCTTATTATAAGCACCACAAAATGAGGCCGCGGCCGAAAGGCCACCAAACGGTGGCTCTGCTTTTATTTTCTCATATCCTCCGAAACTCTGTGGCTTCAGGGATCTAGGGCTTTAGGGGTTGGGGTTCAAAGGTTCAGGGTTTCGGGCCCGCGTAGGCAGCAAGGGCGATGCTGACTTATGGTGTGGCTTTGTTCGCCACGGTCAGTCCTGGGGGCACTTCATAAAGCTTGGAGAGGTCCAGTTCTGCCTCCTTTGACGGCGATGGGTCGCTGTAGCAGAAAGCACCACTTAGCTGCACATCGCCTGGTACGAAGCTTCTTCAGCTTCCCGAAGTTGTTTCAGGTAGCCTTGGCGTCAGTTGAGACCAATCTCATAAGTCTGATTTCTCGCAACACTCGCAGTCTGCACATGCCAGGGGTCGCGCGAAAGCTGACAAAGCACACAGCTAGGTTCGCCTCAGCAGGTCCCTAGGCTGAGTGGTACGCTTCAGGTTGTTTCAGCGATCACTGTTCCACGACACAGGCGCCAGGCTGTTCCCAGTTTCAAATCAACCCGAATTTCCTTGAGCTGTCTGCTATAAGTAGCGTGTGGATTCCTCGTCTTCTGCTTACGGTGAGTCATGATTCCTCGACGGTTTTTTTCGAGACCTTTCCAGGGTCTTCAAGGCGACGAGCGGAAACAAAGCGGAGGTTCGCACAAAGCGTGAAGTCGCCGTCAAGGAGAGTAATCACATCCCCCTGTACTGTGGAGTTGTGCAACGAGGTGCCGGAGGGATCCCGAAAGCTCTTGGCGCCAAGCAAGAACCAATGAAATCAATGCCGATCGCTGGCAGCTCGAAGGTCCAGCCTGTGAACAGCTTGCAGGTTTTTGAACGAAGGGAAACCCGCAGCAATTTTCGATCCGGACAGGTGGTGGTATCTCTGACTTCAAATTCTCAGCGACGGGCATGAGCAGCTTTGGCTGCGCCTCTATGAGCCTTCCTGGCACAGACAGCAGTTGACTCACTGTGCCAATCGTGTTCTGTCGATTTTGCATCTACCACAAAGCAGGCTCACGATTCCAATCGGTGCAAGTAGCTCTCCGAGATTTATTTGAGGCTGGGGGCCTAATGTGGGCAAACCTTCTACAGAGCAATGCTGGCCTCCAGCTGCGGCGACATTTCCTCGGTGCGCATTCAAAGGATCACCGCATCATGTCCTACACGATAACTCGCCTCAAGCAGGAAACATCTTCTATGTCGACATGGAGTTCATGATTGGCTGTAGCTACAGTCGGTCTGTGCATCTGCTTAGCCGCAAGAGACTTCCTGCGCGAAATGTCGTGATTTGCGTTCGCGAGTTTTGGACGGATTGCATTGCATATCCTGTCACGGCGGCTAAGTGCGCCGCCAAAGAGTCCACATCTCAGCAAAGCCATGGTGCTTTCGTGGTGCCTTTCTGACCTTCTTGTCCAGACAACCAGTGCTCAATGCTACTCAAGTAGTGGAGTTGTGGGATGCTGCTAACTGGCAAACGGCCAGATCACTGTGGTAGCGATGCGTGTCGTGTGAGCAGTGAAGCCCTGAGCAGGAAGTGACAAAGGCTGCTTTTTGAGGAACAAGGTGCATGGATGATAGTGAAATTCGTCCGGACTGGATTGACGATTTTCTTCCGCGCATACCTCTAAGGTGAAACAGAATGTGGCCAATTGCAGCGTTGCTAGTTGCATCTGGAGATTTGTGGCTCTTGCCCACGTCTTTGCTTGATGCATCTGTTGCAAGACGGAAGCATCTGCATGTCAAGAGCTCCCATGGTTATGTCATGGCGTTTTGCTCTGCAAGAGTGCAAGAGGACAGCCAAGGGTGCCAACCCCGGGTCAGCTGCCAATCATAGAGAGCTGCAGCCTCAGATGTGCAGGGCGCACAACTGCAGGTGCATCAGCTTCTGCCTCCGCTGAATCTGCAATGCTTTGGATCTTTCAAAGGCATGTCTCCTGCATCGGATCGTATGAGGCCCCTACACCCCTTCGCTTGGATCAACATACTTCACGCGAACCTGTACGAAATGGCATTGTGATAAAAACGCGCAGGAGTACGTCACGAGGAGCAGATTACTCGCTAAGACTGGCAAAAGCGGCACCTGCACTTCTTCATCCACGGAAAGCTCTTCCTCCGTGCGATCTCAGGTGTTCTTGCATGATACCTTCAGTAAGGCATGTCCCTCCGAAGTCTCCTCGAGATTTTTGATGAAACCATCCCGGACTTCGTTCACATGGACCAGACCTCCAGGTCAGGTTTTGTCAACAAAATGAACAGCTGGATGACCTTAAGACTTAAGCCTTGAGCTGCTTCTCCAGTCGGAGGCTCGACTCGAACAAAAGCGCCGAAATTCAAAATCTTCGTAACGGTTCCTGGCATACTCCAGTCTCTGCCAAAAGCTATTGGAAGCTTAACTTGAGAACTCTGCGGGTGCGGACCCCTCAGCCAGAGATCCGTGGAGAGGTCTGTGAAGCCCGAGAGGTCGACCGCCCTCACAGGACCACCGAAACTGCGACTTTGATGCCTAGGTGGATTGTACTGCAGTATATTACATCATACGGTATCCTTTTATATAGTATATCATGTTATATTATGCTATATTGTGTGATATTGTATTAAAAACTAAACAGCACTCTGAGGCTCGGACGGCTTTGGGCCCTGAGTACCGATTTTGTCCTTGACCAAGGCCTTGCTATGCAGGGGCCATCGCAAGAAGCTCGAATCTTAAGCGATCTTTGCCAGGCTTGTGGCTAGCCACAGCTTCTGCTGGCCATCCTGCCGATTGGGTGAGCAGTACATGGTCAAGCGCATAGAAGATTCTCAATTCCGTGACGGCCTTGTCTGTTTTCACAGACTCAACATACACCGTGACCTCGCAGATGCGCTGCAAGTAAGCCCTGACTGCACCGGCTTCCTTGTCGCCAGTGTTTCGCACTCCGCTCCGGAAGCCGCAGCCTTTTTGTCATGCCCGGCCAGGAGCTGCTCGTGCATAGCATGCAACAGCCGAGAACACCGCTGGACTTTGCAGCTGTGCAAGGGGATTTAGGTACTGACACTGTACCCACAAATGGGTCTATGTCCTGGATAGATGCGCTTGTTAGGCGAAAGCGTGGGGTTCGAAGCACTGTCCGCTTCTGTGAAGTGGAGATTGGCCACATGCCCGATGTCTGGATGCCGCCATGCTTCTGCCTGATGCAAAGCAACCACACAAACTGCACTCGGTACTCAAGCATCTTCCTGCAGAGTGATGTTAAGACGACTAGGCTGGCTGAAAGAGGCCTCGCTGTTGGCAGAAAGCAGTGCCGGCTTCTGTGACAAGCCTATTGCGGGGCAAGCATGCACATACAACATCATACAACTGCTCCGGGAGCTTGGATGTCAACCTGCAAATGGTCGTGAGTGTGCCTTGAAACCAGTAAGCGCGAGTGCGGCATTGGAGGCAACGCCTGGGAACTGATCACACTGCAGGGCGATGCACACCGAGTGTGTGCTAGCTGGCCGTGAAATGCCTAGAAGACGCTGCCAGGAAGCTTCGTATTCATCATCTGACGATGCATAGAACATCACCGAATAATTGAACGTACTCCCACACTTCGATGTGCTCTAAGACTCCGCTCAGCGAAGGGCTTGCATCCAGCTGCAGACACGCGGAAAAAATACGACGAAACCCACACGAACAAGATGGCAAACCCAGGTGCCTCAGAAGTTCCTCTGCAGAAGTCTCGAAAGCGAGCACTTCGCTTCCAACGTAGGCCCTGGCGCAATGACAATGACTGTGGTATCTGTCTTTGCGTCGTCATGGTCCAATCGTGAATACACTGCTCCTTGACAGCCAAATACCACCATACGGAGCTGCCAACATGCATCGCTCTTTGTTGTTGTAGGAAGCTGAATCGCAAGCACCCCTGTGATCCTGGTGAGTGCACTCCAGTGATTTAACGCTCAAACACTGTGAAAGCCAGCGGGTGCCTCCCGGAGGAGATCGCCCACAAATCCACGCAAGGGACCACCGGCGCTCCCGCCAAGCCATGGGACCTGGCCAGCCTGGGTAAGTCGACTTGATTGCAGCCACGAAAGTTGGCAGCCTTTAGGTGGGGGTACGTCGCTCAACCTGGGAATTGCTAACATCCTCTTGAGGAGGATGCACCCCGTAGCATGCAGTCGTCAGCAGGTGCTTGGGGTTTTGACGTGGTGGTGGGCCTCTGGATGATGAAAGTTGTGAGGCAATATGAGGCAGGCATCGAGTACACATGCACGCATTCCCCTTGCTGCTTTGAACAATCTCTCTAGATAGTTATAGTTATGGATGCCGGCGTGCCTGCACCTCTTGTAGCAAGGACTGCGAATTCACCCAGATGAGCTCCTCCACTTCCAAGTGTGATGCAGGTTGTGCCAGGACAGCCAAGGAAGCGGCCCAAGCCAAGGCGTGGTGGCGCCGCTTCCTAAAGCTGCCAAGAACTGCACCTTTCTGCATCGGAGACAAGCGACCCAAGCTCACCATTCGCAGAACCGAAGGACGCGGCCGTCGTGCTGGTGTGTCGGATTGCCAGGGCCAGAAGGACACGGGACAGGAGGTTTCTGAAGACTCCAAGCTGGCTAAGAGCTGATCCTGGCTTCCCAAAATCTCGAGACCCTCTTCGGCTGCCTCCCGAGCCATCGCGAAGGTCAGGCTTGGGTCCTCCGCTTCGACGAATCCCCAAAGTGGGCCCACTTGCCGCGTAGGCCACCAAGGCCTGCTCTCTACAGCAAGAAGGAACTCCACACCCTCAGCCTCAGCCTCCGTCTCTGCAGCCACCAGTACCCCAGCGGCCAGGTTGGCATCTTCTCCCCACCAGTCTGGCACTCGCCGGACCTTCCCGAGCGTTTGACCTTGCAATCGAACTATCCCGGCGCTCGCGTCGACTTCGACACTGCCGAGTGGCGGCCAGTGGACAACGGCAATTTCGTCTCTTTCAAGGGATACGGAGAGCTGCAAACTGGTCTCTGGAGGCATCCACTCCCATCGGTTCTCCGAAACTGGTTGCCATTGCCACCTACTGAGTCGTGACGACATGTGGGCTTGGTGCTTCGCGGCTTCGCGCTGACAGCGCCATTTCAATGCTAGGTGCTCCTGCATCGCTGCCCTACACGCGCATCTACGACGTTACGAGCCTTGCTTCCTTCCTCCAGCTCTGCGAGGCGAACTAACTCCATCTTCGACTTCTCGGCCCTGGGCCCACAAGGCTTCAGGGGCCATACATGGGAGTTTCCGAAAATAGGGGACCCTAAGATACTACCCTAAAAAATAGGATCCTTACTATAGGGACCCCAAGATAAGGACCCCCAAATGGAGCAACTGATGAGCAGCCCGAGGTCTCTGCGTGTACTCGCAATCGTCCTCCTCCCACACTATGTCGACAGTACCGTCGCCGTTGTCCTTGCACCAAAGCGTGCCTAAACTCGACTGTCTCTGTCTGTGGCTTTTAAATGGCATGAAGACAATACTTGGAAATGTTGCCTTCTGAACTGTCGCTGCGTAGTACTCCTCCTCTTCCTCATAGAGTGCCTATGCAGCATTCACGGAGTCCCGCAAAGGGCCAACGGGCCAGCATTACTGAGCAAACAGCTCTGACCCGGCCTTGACTTTGTCTCCCTGCTTGAAGCTGGGATCTTCACCCTTGAAGGTAAACCAAGGCTTCAGCAAACCTCTGCATGACACATTTCAATCAGAGAATTGTTTGCAAGAAGCTGTCACGAACACTGCAAGCTCAGCATCTGTCCGTCTCGCTCAGCGCCGACGTCAACAAAGGTTCCGAAACCGAATGTCCTCGTTTGACCATTTGGTCCATGAAGCCAAGGCCGACATGTTCAGTGCTCGAGCTCATGTCCTGTCCTTGCCACTGTGCCTGTGAGCTTTTGGCGAGGCCTCGCCAGCAAAAGTGGAACGTGGCCAGCTCAGCACAACGGGTCTTGTTGCCCGCTGGCAGCACTGGGCCCGCACTTCAAATCTGACAGCGGAGTTGGCAGCATTGAAGGCTTTAAGTCCTTCTCCCTTAGCTCTCCACGAAGGTGAAGCTCCCAGTGGACGACAACATGCTCACCAGGTGCACGGCGCAAGCTCGTATTCCTCACCTTGCACAATCTAAGCTAGCACAGCTTGTTGCTGCACCTTGATAAGTTTCCACGGCGAAATTGGAAGGATGTAGCCGGGTTCACGGCCATCTTCGTCCCAGATAACAGTGTAGGAGCCAGAATCATTGACACACTTAACGCGAGCCTTAGCCCGTATACGCATGTGAAGTGCCTCCGAACCCTTGAGGCGATACTGGGAAGCTGGCGGCATACCACCTGTCCTCGTCATGGAACAAGCCTTCGACTTTCTCGCCGGCCTTATCACTTGCGGTCGGTCACTCGGCACGGCTCCGGTTCCATCTCAGCACTGTGCTGAGAAGCGAAAAGGCTTGTCCCTGCGCTGGAGAAGCCTTACACGAGCAGAAGAGAGTCGGTCAGAGCCTGCCTGACGACGCAAAGCCCGCCCACCTCATGTTGCTTGCATCCTGTTTGTGTTCGTAGCCATCCTGTCAGAGCAATGGAGTAGCGAGTGCTGCACGGTTCACAATGCAAGTCATTTTCACGTCTTCGCACCTCAATCCATGTGATCAAGTAGGACTCATCGCCGTTGTGGCACTGGACAAGAGCCTAACAGTCTTTGCTGCTCCCTGGAGCAGCGTTGTCTCGATGACTGAAGAGTGCGTGCAGGCCAACACATTCGGGTGGACTCCTACCTCGTACTCTTTCTGTTCTTCCTCATACAAGGCCATGACCTCAATGGCGTGTGGCCATTCCCACGGAGGAGGAATGGGGAGGACAATCAGGGTTCGGGGTTAGCAGTCGAACGCAAGTCGCTGCGCACAAGCATGCATGCATGACTTTGAAAAGCCTTCACAATGTTTGCACTGCATGGCGACATCTCTGCATCGGAACTGTGTTGCCGGCCCTGTCTCCCACCAGAAACTTGGAGCTAGCTGTGCTGTGGCTGGCCTCTGCGAGGCAAGACGCAGCTCAGCCGAGGGCAAATTCCTCACCTTCAAGGTTGCAAAACTTGCCTTTGTTTAGTAGGGAATGGAAGAATGGTAGTACCCCATTCCTCCATTCCCTACTAACCAAAGGTAAGAAAACCAGTAACTCAGCTCAGATCCTGCGAAGCAGCTTTGGCTTCTAAGCGAGCCTCGTGCAGGTGTCATGTGGACAACGGTAAGCAAGCATGGAGCTATCTCGTTTACCTGAAGCTTTTATCATTCACAAACTCATACGGGAGTTTCCGAACGTCAGGGGTACCTTACTTTGGGGTCCTTATAGTAAGGATCCTACTATTCCGGGTACTGTATTAGGATCCCCTATTTTCGGAAACTCCCATAGATATGCGTCTCGGCGACTGAGTGCCTTACCACCAGGTCGGCTTTGCGCCCTGATTTTGGCAAGTCCAGCTCCACGCATTTTGCCTTAAGCTGAGCAACCGTCAGCTTGGCATAGCCTGGAGCAGTAGCGCAGCATGGGCTACTGTAAGGGATCTGTAAGGATACTATACTATAGGGGCCTAAAATTAGAGTAGGGTTCCTTTAAAGGGGTCCATAAGGGTTACTATCAGGGTACGAAAATAATTAAGATGATAGAGGCGCAAAACGATAGCCGTGCCTGCAGCAGGTTGCGTCTCGGCCTCGGCCTTTGTGGGGTGAGATGCGAAGATGTGAAAGTCTGTATGCATGCATGCAAGCATGAGTACATACAGAAATACATACATACATACATACACGTATATGTAGTATGAATATGCAAATGCATGTATGTATACATACGTAAACACACGCATGCAAGTGCAACTGGTACTTGTTTGATTCTGCGTCTGCACATACGAACGCCGACGAACTCTGATAGATCATGTGCTATCCCGAAAAGATTCTTTCACAGCAACACTATCGTACCACCAAGGAGCTTCAAGACAATGGCCTAGCATGCAATATGCACAAACAAGCAGCCTGTGATTGGCTATGACAGCACGGAAGCGGTGCAGCAGTAGCAGCAGCAGAGGTAGTGGCTTTGTATTTCGTAGTCGTAGCAGCAGTGGCAGCAGTAGGGGGAGGAGGAGGAGGAGGAGCGCCCAGACATTGGCGGTCATTAAACGACTTGCAAACTCTTCGCTCCATGTACCGAGCAGAGGGCCTCTTGTAGCCTTTCGACCAAATCCTGCTTGAGGCCTGTCGTGGACAGACCTTGGCCACGACACTTGCAAAGGCGACGTCCCGGTTTTGCCGAACATCAAGGGTCCCGCCCTTTTCTCTCAGCTTTTCCTGACATTGATGCGCGCTTGGGTAGGAGTGCAAGAAACTACTGCTTGTTCTGCTTCTTCTTGTTCTTCACCAAGCACGCTCATAGGAGCTGTGGACACGCCCCCCAACCCTGTGCGTGCGCCCAGTCTTCCAGGAGGCTGTCAGACTGCTTGATTCCCCTCCGCCCTCCAGAACCGGTTTCAAGCTAAACTTTCAACCACGACACTTTTACTCTCCCAAGCCCCTTCACACACCGCCTTCGAACGAGCGCACTGGCTTCATGTCTAGCTGTGGGCCTTGCCAATCCAAAAATCATCGAACCCGGCGCTGAATACAGTGCGTTGGATGGCTATGCATGCGCTCAGCGGTTGCGAGCTTCACCGCGCATGGCAAAGTGTATAGCGTATGGCATGTGTACATCTACGACAAGGTGCGCGCTACCAGATCCACTCTGCTAGGGAGGTTGGAACGTTGGCCCTCCTTCCAGGCCCAAGTCTCGCTCGTGCCTGCCTTCCTCGGCTCCGGCTTGGATGGGGTGGTCGGGTGATGTTTGGTACTCCAGGGACGCGCAAGGCAGCTGGTTGTGTGACTCATTTCACTTCGCCCCAGCTGCGCCTTTGCACTATCCATGTAGGTGGGTGCCGGCTGTCATTCCTCTGCCTCTCTCTCCACAGGTTCTGCGGCTTCCACACTTCCACATGCAATATCGTTCCGTGGCCCCATCCGCCCGAAAACTGCTGCTTCAGTCTACCCACCCCGCTCTGGCGATGAAGCCAACTGGTCTGTCTGGACAAAAATGCCTCTCTCGATCTCTATCTGCTATCTCTCTCTCGCTGCTGGTCGCCAAGCTTGCCTTCAGCACCGCGACGGTCAAGCGTTGCGCACCTAGGGGGATAGGCATCAATCTGTCAAAAGCTCCGAATGCGTCTGCTCCATAAGTTCAGCGCCCGCCAGCACGGCCGACCGTGCCTGAACGGTTGCAAGGGAGCGCAGAGAAACCGAGCAGGGAGGACTGAAGTCGGCCAGACATTGACCCGAACAAGCTGCCTTGCGCGAAGGAGTCTGGCTGCAGCCCTGGAAGCCGCGCACGAAGGTTACCTTGGTTCCCATGCTGCCGGGGAAGTGTGTTGGGCCGATGCTGGATCGCAGAGTAGAGATGCTTGGGCTCTGGACTGCCACATTGCAGGTGCCGATCGCTAGGGAAGCAATCAGAAGCTGCGAAGCCTGCAGCGTAACCACGACCAGCGTTCAAACTCTAAGCTGCTGATTTGGTCTCATAAAACGTCAGCTGCGTTGCAGCCTTCCAGCTGCGCCTGCTCGCGGAATTGCGCTCCCGCATGGCAAGTTCAAGAACAACACAAATATCAGGTCTAAAGCTCTATACCGTGCTCGTTGTTGGGCATCTGGCAAACAATGGCAGTCTCATGTCGTATCTCTGTCATCCTGCAAGCTGTTCGGCATAGTACAGTATAGTATAGTATTTACAGAAAAAGACATTGCAATGTAGACTCCTTCTGCTACAGTAGGTGTAATCTTGGTCAGCTGCGCCACTCAAGCAAAATAGCTGCCGCGACAATGCAAAGCAGATGGTCTCCCGAACCTGTGCACAAGGCACTTTTTCAGTGCCTTGTTCCTCGTATCTTGCAGTTATCACCAGGAGACCCCTCCTGCATGTGCATCTTGCGCAACAGCCATGCGAACGATTAAGCTGAGAGTCAACTGTGCAAACTCGCTTCCAGGTAGGGCCCCCAGGCCCCCTATCAACCACAGGGGATGATAAACAGCGAGACTGTGCAAGCGAGCATATGCAAGCTCTTTTCCATGCAGCACATCCTATGATCCGTTTTCGTACACCGTGGTGGTGTCGAGTGATCTACCTGGCTGCTTACTGGTTGCCTTGGCTCAGGCTCCTCTGCCGGGCTGTCGAAGAGCAAGAACGAGATTCCCGTTGACTCGTCGTCTTCAGCCAGCTATGGAGCAACAGCTCAGCATACGACTGCTCCAGTCACACAGCCCCCGTGCGCACAGTTGTGGAACTCTGAGTCTCCAAACGAAAAGGACAACGAAGAGCTTCCCCTGTCGCGTTGGCAGCCTCTCCGTTGGAGTTCCTCCTGACGCTCACCTCTGCGACCTCGCGAATACGGCTGCTGACTGTGCGAATGCTGCCCGCTCTTGAAGTTGCACCTTCTGGAAGATTTACTCGAAATCTTGGCTCGAAGTCTATGGCGAGAAGCCTCGGCAAGGGACGCGATCTGAGAACCTGCAGAACGCTGCGAAGCACTGGCCCGTCCTTCCGGTTTCCAGAAGAGTGGCAGCTGGCGGATCTGGCAGACATGTGATGCAGCACCCTCTCAAACCATGAAGCTCACTCTGTCAGCCCGGAAGCAAGCGGTTATGACGCGCCCAGGTTAGGGTCGAAGTGCTTATCCTAGAAATGTCGTCGCGCGGCAGTCGTTCCCGCTTCACTGCTAGACACCTCTCTGGCAAGATTTGGCCTGCAACCGACCACTTCAGATTTTCACCTGCTTGACTCTACATCACTGGCCTACTTGTTTCTATACCGCAAAAGGCGCTCTGCGATGACATCCTTCATGCGAGGTTTGCATTGTGTGTCTGCATCTTTCCCACTCAATGAACGGACATTGGCATCTGCTTCGACAGGTTCTTCAGTGGTGTGCAACTGAAGCGACCTGATGTTGCATTCTCCGGAGTGGCTTCAGGTTTCGGGCTCACGCGGAACAGGAAACGCCCTGCATAGCCGAAGTCAGGAGACATGGGTTGCTGCGCCTCTCGGTGGGGCCTGTCCTGCTGCATCTCCAGAACCTGAATAGTAGGACAAAGTAACCTGATTGCAATAGCCAGTCTGCATCCTGGGCCGTGTGCACGAAGAACGCCTTCGTATGGTGAACACGATGGGTCTTGCGAGTAGTAGTCCAACCAGCAAGCCTTCACAGCAGCGGAATGGCGGCATGTCTAAACAAGTTTCCAGTTTCCACTTAGAGCACTAGGCAGCCGGCATGGTCCAATAAACTCTCCTCACGAACAACACACCCTGCATGGGGACCACAGCTTAGCCTGCTGGAGCCCTCCACAGGGTCGTTCTGCCTTCATTACGTACAGGTCTGCGTGAAAAGCAGTTGAGGAACAGCTTCTCTTGCGAGTGTACTGCGGGGGATGCCGAAATTGACCAGAACTTTCTCTCCTGTGGCTTAAACTGGCGTCCTGCATTTGAGCTATCCTCGCTGATGGCATCGCTCGCAGCAGGTGAACGGCCCGCGCCACGTCATCTAAGTTCAGAATGCTTGCCTTTGTAAGATAGGCTTTGGCTCTAAGGACATGGCCCATAGGAAGCTTCATGCTAAAGTCGGGCCATGGAAGAAACCTGCATCCACGTGCTCACACCCGGCTCGGGCCTCCTGGGAGGCCTTGAGCTCTTCAGAGCCGAGTGCCGGACGCTTGGAAGGGCACCGCCATGGCATCCGACAGAATCACAGGGATGCAGCCTTCCGAATACTATACCCCCGTTTGAACCAAGAATTCCTAACAAGAGTGTAGAATGAACATGGGGATTAGAATGATAAGAGTGCTTTCCGCAGTGTGCAACTTCTTCCGGCCTGCGAAGAAGGCCTCAAAAAGGCGCCCATTGGTGTAGCCGACGCCTCCGTGAGTGTAGAGAGAAAGAGAGAGAGTGAGAGAGAGAGAGAGAGAGAGAGAGAGCTATATATATATATGTATATATATATATATGTGTATATATATATGTGTATATATATATATGTGTATATATATATATATATATCACGCACACACATTTTTCTAAACAGACTGTGTGTCTATACATATATATATATATAGACAGATTGCGTATTATGTGACCCACCCCGAAGCTCTCCGCAACGTAGCAACAAGTGCCTTTCGGAACCAGGCAGAACATGCAATCTCCAACGCGGCCGTAGTAGTCCTCGTCTGCGTAGCATGGACACCGCTTCCCACAGCAACGAAAGTTGCTCTACGGGCCCCAGCAGTACAAAAACACTGTCCAGAAGCGGCGTAATGTGAGGCCCGATGCTGGCATCGGACCTCGGCTGGGGCCAGGGAGCAACTAGCACCTGTAAGCAATTTCGTGTGGTGCCATCGCTCCGGCAAGCTGCTCGCCGGCGAAGGCTTGAATCTGTCGTCGCGTGTCTGCGGCTCGGCTACCGTTGAACGGCCGGCCTGGTGAGCAGATGTTGGCAAGTTGGCTGCAAGCAATGTCTGCTTCTGGCCTTCAGCATGTGTCCTCTCATAGAGATCGTGTCGCATGGCACCATGGAAGCCTCCGATGCAGGTCAGGGGGCCAAAGTCAGGCAGAGCGGATCTCTTTGACGAGTGCCGGGCGGAAATGCATCCGGCCGAGCGGCAAAACCGAAAGCGGCGTTCTGCGCTTGGCTTCGCTTTTTCACGAAGCTTTCGCATGGCCCAAGCATCTGTGTGGCCCGGCACAACCACATCCTTCCAGGCGTCGAAGCACGAAACACCTTACCGGCCGCATCCTCAAAGGAACAGACTGTACCAGTTATTTTGACAAGACAACAACACTCGGCTGCAAACAGGTTGCAGTGCCGGTAGTTCACCACATCGATCAATGGGTTCGCTTCCACCACGAAGATCTTCGCTCTTGCCACGTAGGACTCCCAGGATGGAAAGTCCCAGAACTCGTGCGCGAAGTGGAAAATGTGCTGCCTGCAAAGATGGCATCTGACACAAACCCGAGTCCTACAGCTGTGAGATCTTGCCTTCTTCGGTATACATCGAAGTGCTCTAGGGAGTTGACAACAGCTATGTTGTGTTTGTCCAGCTCCTCAGTCTCGGTGCCGGGCTTGATATGCAGGTTCCTGCCAGATGGGATTTTCCGAAAGTAGGGGACCCTAATGTAGTACCCTAAATAGTAGGATCCCTAGTATAAGGACCTCAACATAAGTTACCCCTAAATTTCAGAAACTCCCAGATGCGTCAGCCCAGCCAACCCACAGTCATGCACAGTACAGCGACTGCGACCAAGCGGCTGAAAGCAGAAGGAATAGAAGGGCACGTAGAAGAAGTCTGCATCGGCTGGATCTCTGGTTCTGCACCGGCTTCGGAGCAGGAATCGGTGAAGCATCACCTCGGAACCTTCCATACCGGAGGCACAGCTCAAGAGTGGTCGTGCGTAGTCACCGGTGTCATAGACGTAGAATCTTGGTCGCTCTTCTGAAGCACAAAGGTGGGCATCTGGCAAAGGCTCCAAGCCCAAAAGCTTCGGTGCTGCTTCGTGCCAGGTCAGATTCACACGCCACGTGCTCCATCCTACAGGTGCTCCAACTCAGACTTGAGACTTTGGGGCCTTAAACCCCAAACCCAAAAGTTCAGAGAAGGCCTGGCCTTCGAGAGAGTTCACCAAGCGCTCAGCCTGACGGTAGACCTCTGCAGCAGCCGCTTCGCCTTCGTCCCGGTCGATGAAAGGCAAGGAGTGTAACATCACCGCTGCCATGCCTCGACCAAAGTAGGATGCCCCAAATCTATTACTACCTTCATTATTATTGATATTTTTGCTATATGACTATTATCATTCCTACTATTCTGATTATGTTTGTTATTCTGATTAAGTGACTACTTCAGAGGCCAGCCTGGAGCGCACTTCGCGGAGTTCTCGGCGCGGTTGCCGGGGTCGGAACCCAGCGAATGCCAGAACTGGTACAACAGCTCGCGGCCCTCACGAGGCAATGGGCTCACCGCCTGCACCGGAAGCGCTGCACTTTGAAAGCGGAGATACCTTTTTCCAAGGAAACCTAATGCCAATATGCACGTAGCCGAGATGCAGCAATGTCTTGGTCCAGGTATCGAATGTAATCCCATGTCTCTTGGGGTGACGTGCAGTCGATGGCACCGACGCCCGCCGCGAGCCCCCACAGCACTTTGACCACCTTGCTGAATGTCGGACACTGCTTCCTAGGTGACTCTCAACCGACGGCCTCCTGCATGACTCGACCACGATGCCATGGCCAAATGAGGCGAGACTGGACTGAATCTGCACCAAGAGGTGACAGCTGAGGCTGAAAACCTTGCTGTGCTGCAAGCAGCATCTAGCGACCTGCTGTAAGATCTATTCTTCACCAGATTTTACAGATCGGTGCAGTGGCAGATGCTGTGCCACTTTGTCTTTGATCCATATCATTTGGCGTTGGAAACACGAGTGCAACGGTTATCGCTCTGAGTGCAAATAAAGCCCACTTTGGTTCCAGGCGGCGGGGCCATGAAGAGCTTTCTCCGATCAGACAAAGACGGAAGAAGTAGCTTCGATGTGGGACCACGTTCTTACTGCCATAGTCTCCTTCCGAAGTCATGCATTTGTTGCTTGTGCTTCTGGCCTTTCCTTTACGCATTGTACCGGGACGTGCCATTTTCGACTCGGGCAAAATTGAGGCTGCAGTTTTCGGGCTTGGAAGACACTCGCCGGTACAGGGCCAGTATCCAACTTCTCGTGATCCTGGTGCAACATGTGTTCTGTTGGCCACAAGGTGTCACCCGTTCCGATTCTCTGGCATCGGGCGGCAGATGTGAAAGGTGCTGGCACTCGCACTTACCTTCTGCGCATCTCGTTGTCTGTTTGTACCTGCCATTTTCCAAACCAGCAGTCCTAAACAAGAGCTTGACAGTCTCCTTCTGATCCTCGCCGGTATCCTCCAAGCGTCAACATCTCCGTTCGTGCAAAGCATGCGGGCTTTGGCCACATCAAGTTGACGGTGGACGTCAGCAGTCGGCCATGGTTGTGCCGGGACTGGCTTTCACGGACATCCTAAAGCCGGATCTGGCGCGCCTGTTCCAGGGTATGGGAAGGGCAGCGAAGAAGAATCCATTTCTCCCTTGCGCCCGACTGCGAAGGCTACCTAACACTACATGCTTCCGCAATCATCTCCTCGTTGTCTCCACTATCATGGCATACTAAGGCATAGTCCTGGAGTACTGAGTACCACATGCAATACGATGATAATTGCAGAAGCTTCCAGTCTGAACGAGAAGCACAGCCACACTGGCCCCGCGGCACCGGAGGCTGTGCTTCATAAGCTTAGCCTTCGCACGCTAGAAATGGTCATGATAATGTTACAAGCCCCGCTTCGGGAACTTTGAGTGAAACTGCTCGGTGATACAAAGAATGTTCGCGAGGGATTGGCCCATGTTTAGCCTGCAAGGCAAGTGTAGGATGGTGCAGGCCGAGTCACAGAGTCCGGTGCATCCTGGACCGGGCCAGGGGCCTGTGGGTGCCAACGACAACGGCCCCGGACCAGGACCTTGCAGAGAACATTCCCGTCTCAGACACATCTTCTAAGCTAGCAAAGTGCTCTCCCAGGCCTCCCATAGCCACATTTGGGTACATCTCCCGCAGCATGGCGCTTTGTGCCTGCGCGCCACGACGCCAGAGAAGGAGCGCACAGTCGGCCGAATGTGTGATCCGGGCCTGGATCGAAGGGTTAATGCCTGGCAACTGCGATGTGTCGCGCGAGTTTTCAACTATTCAATCAGGGCAGCTGTGCCGATAGGTACTTGCCCGGGCCCACGGTGACCAGAATGGCGAGACCTCAGATGTAAGTCAAGCACCCTGCCGCCATCCAAACTTCGGCATGTCGTCAAGGAGATTGGGAGAACCTTCAAGGTGCCGACCCCTTGTGAAATGGATGAGGTCGGCCACCTGGCATGGAGGGAGCGCCGTGCAGCTGCACACTTATCCCAGCTTCAGCAGCAGGAGGGGTTTGTCTTGAGGACTACACACAGCATAGCACCTTGGTCGTAGCCAAGCGGTTCCCACGAAGCCTCCACAACAAAAATATTATGCTGCACATGCCGGCTTAGCAGAAGTAAAGGGCCAAGCCTGCACATTCAGTCCTCCTCTGCTTATTGGTGGCGGAGATGCCTAGCAGGATAGTCTGCCTGCTCTCGCGATTGTTGAGGGTGCAAAAGATGTACTCAGAATCCCGCAAGGTTGCGTCCGCCCCAACCTCAGCAAATCGAGGCTGGAAGGAGCAGCAAGCTCTAAGGCAGTCGAACATCTTGAACAGTATCGGTGTCTGCCAGCAAATGTGCAGTGCAAGCTGCTCCTGAACACACTGTTGGGATCTCCGAGGCCTCGCCGTGAGCGCAACGGCAAACGTTCTCCAAGCTGGGAGAAAGCAGGCCTGCTCGCGAGTCTCTTCTCGAAGAGCGCCTCTGCAGAGCAGATGCAAGCTGCATACTAGTAGTGCGACTACGACTACGACTACGACACTACTGCTACTACTGCTACTGCTACTACTACTACTACTACTACTACTACCACTACTGCTGCTGCTACTACTACTACCACTACCACTACCACCCAAAACCCTGAAATCCTTAACCCCCCAAGAGGCCCTAGATCCTTTCTGAGCAACTTCAGGCCCTCCGCGCTCCTGAGGGCGACTCCTCGAGCCGGGCTCGTGAAAGGGCTCTCTGCCTCAGAGGTCGGTTAGATGGGCTTAGGGCTTTTTTTTAAGGTTTTTTTTAGGGTTTATGTTTGGGGTTTAGGGTTTGGGGTTTAGGTTTGGGGTCTAGGGTTTAGGGTTTGGGGTTTAGGTTTGGGGTCTAGGGTTTAGGGTTTAGGTTTGGGGTCTAGGGTTCAGGGTTTAGGGTTAGGGATTTGGGGGTTTAAGATATTGTGACAGGCGCGGTAAAATATAGCAAAGCGTAATAACCACTGCCTGGTACCTCGACAATCGCTTAGACAGATCTCGCCTGATGCCATACTTGTGCCGAGAGTAGAAGTATAGTTGTGCTCGGTAGCCTGAGGATATTCTTGTAGCAGCAGCATTAATTTTTCGTATGACTGTATTCACACACATGCCTTTGACACGGCAGCGCACGAGCCGGTGCTGTACTCAATAAACTACAGACCGCTAGATATAGCAGCAAGCAAGACACAAACAACGCGAAACGATACGACTGAACAAACTCAGAATAACATGCAGTCGCGTGCCATGATGCTTCCTGCTAGGAGTCATGGAGTGCATGACAGCTCAGAAACACGATGTCTACATGTACTTTCGATTAGACCTAGAAGTAAGTATACTGGGCCATCATAGCGTATGTAGGTAGGTTTGGCACGAACTACAAACCCATGTCTGTCCATTCTTCGTTCTTGGACACTCTTGGTGCAAGCTGAGGCACCAAGGAAGACAAGGGCGGCATCCGGCTCTGGCCTGAGCACGCAACCAGGAACAGATGACTTCAAGTTGGCATGTCTGTCGTGCTTGGGCTGAAGCTGCTGGGGTTTCCGCTGCCCCTGCTCGGATCTGCAGCAGAAGGTGCAACCTATGCAGCATGTAGCATGGAATGCAAACGACAGGGTACTGGTCTGGGAACTGTTGAAGATAACATGTGCATTCGATCACGACTGCCAGCTGAGAGTGCAAGCTGGTCTCACTCAGCTGCTGACAACTGGAAAGGATTGAGAGACTGCTTGCCCCTGTGCAGCTCATTGCAGTTCACAACCCGGAATACGTTCAAGTACAGCAACCCCAGCATTTCAACAGTGTATGTGTAAGACGCACAGAGCCTCAGGAATATCCATCCCAGGTAGTCGTGCATCAACGCCAACCATCCTGACTGGGGACATGGCTGGACTGGTCCCGGGATGCCAGCTAAAGTCTCTCAACCTACCGGCTCTCACGAAGACGATCCCTACTGCTGCTACTGCCAATGCCTGTGCTACTCCCACTCCACTCCTACTCCTCCTACCACTACAACAACTACGACTTCGACGTCGACGACGACGACGACGACTACTACTACTGCTACTTTGCTACCTTGCTACTTTTGCTGCTGCTGCTGTTGCTACCTCCACTTTCCTGCTACTCGTAGATTTTGTACTCTTTTGTCTCCTCGTGCTGCTACTCCTACTACACTATTGCTGCTAACGCAAGAGGAAAGAAACAACAATACCACGACAAGACTGCGCATGCTCGTCTCAGCAATCATATTGCTGACAGCGCCGATGAAGATGACCGCGATGCTCTGTGTGAGTGATATGATACTATGCACGAGTACACTGCAACAATAACCAAGACGTTGTACCGAAATAGTGTTACATCATCACTCATTACTGCTGTTATTCCTATATTGTTTATCTAGGTGGCGTTTAAAGCCTTTGAAACATATTAGTAAACAAGATCCCCTTACGCCCAATAAGGGGAAATATAGAATGTCCCAAAGCCCTACTTAGTTATTGTGTGTGGGAGCTCCGCCTTGAGTGCCCGTGCATTAGCTCCATCAGGGCATCCGAAGACCACTCGCCGGGATCGCCTTCAACCGCAAACGCATGCAACCACTCGCCAGTGCCATTGCGGTAAACGCGCTCCAACGAGCACTCTACTAGCGATGTCATCATCATAATAACAAAAATAGTAGGAATAATCATACTAGTAGTTGTATCCCAAGACTTTGTAGTAATAACAAGAAGGGCATGTTCTCATAAACCAGCTTTGCAATGTAACCCCAGCCGGCCTTTCGGCCCCGGCCCGGGTTTTGGCTCCTCACGTGCACCCCAGCTGTGCATGTCCTGGAGATGCAAAGCTGCCAGCTGTCGTGGCGGATGTGAATAGTTCTCTAAGTTAGGGCCCCTTTTCGGGTCGGTTGTTTTATGGAGGTGCCATACTATTTTGGGCGACCAAAAGAAGGGACCCGAACTTAGAGAACTCTCCATGTGCACTCGTCTGCTGGGGCTCGCACAGATGCCCCGCCGACTGATGTGCCCCCTGTCAGAAGCCAGGGCCAACTTCAAACCTTTTGAATCCTCTGGTCGTTGTTCCTTACGAACAAGAAAGCACAATAACAACAATAACAATAGTTGAATGTAGTTTCAACAATAACAACAACATGAGGTAGGAGAAGCCACGGTGCTGCCTCCCTCTCCCGCAGGATTGGCACTGCCACCACCGATGCCAGAAGTGTGCGAGTTCTTCGTGGCCTCCAG